ACTACCATCACTACTACTACTACTACTACTACTACTACTACTACGACTACTACCCCTACTACTACTACTACTACTACTACTACTACTACTACTACTACTACTACTACTACGACTACTACTACTACTACTACTACGACTACTACTACTACTACTACTACTACTACTACTATTAATACTACTAATATTACAACAACTACTACTACTACTACTACTACTACGGCTACTACTACTACTACTCCTACTCCCACTACTACTACTACTACTACTACTACTAAAACTAGTAATGCTACTGCTACTACTACTACTACATACTACTACTACTACTACTACTACTACTACTAGACTACGACTACGACTACGACTACACACGACTACGAACTACTACGACTAACACTACTACTCACTACTACTACTACTACTACTGACCTACTACTACTACGACTACTACTACTACGACTACTACTACAACAACAACAACAACTACTATTACTACTCCTACTACTACTACTACTACTACTACTACTACTACCACTACTACTACTACTACTACTACTACTACTGCTACTGCCACTACTACCACTACTACTACTACTACTACTACTACTACTACTACTACTACTACTACTACTACTACTCCAAGGATACCAGCATCACTCAGTGGAAGTTCCCAGGCGACTCCAGCTACGACCCATGCTGTACTTCTACTACCGCTACTACTACTACTACTACTACTACTACTACTACTACTACTACTACTACTACTGATACTGTTACTACTACGGCGACTACTACTACTACTACTACTACTACCACTACCACTACCACTACCAACTACTACTACTACTACTACTACTACTACTACTACTACTACTACTACTACTACTAACTACTACTACTACTACTACTACTACTACTACTACTACTACTACTACTACTTACTACTACTACTAGTACTAGTACTACTAGTACTAGTACTACTACTACTACTACTACTACTACTACTACTACTACACTACTACTACTACTACTACTACTACTACTACGACTTCTACTAGTACTACTACTCCAAGGATACCAGCATCACTCAGTGGAAGTTCCCAGGCGACTCCAGCTACGACCCATGCTGTACTCGGCGACTCACCGACCAGAGCATCGAGGCCTTCCTCATCAACGAGGACGGCAGCTTCTACCACAGCCTGAGGCCCAGAGACCCCCCATCCCTCGCCGACTGCCCCCCAATGCCAGAGCACCCAGCCATGCGCAAGCAGGCTGACAACGCCATGACTCTCACTATCCACGACTTACTCGCACAGATGCGGGCCCACTACCAGCGGGAACCAAACTTCCACGAATGGGTCGACCGAGCACGCCCATGGTACAGCGAGCAAACACGAGGCCGCTTCTTCTCCAAATTTCAGTTCACTGAAGCCCACAAGCCATTCACCATCTTCGGCGACAACTTGCTCGTTCCCGCATCGATATGTGAGGCAAGCATCCACCCCCCGCGCGCACGCCGCATCCTCCACCGCATCAACCGGACACGCAGTCCCAAACCCATACTTGCGCCATGCGACGGCCACAGCATCCTTGAGCGCGAGATTCACATCGAGATCCCCCCGAAGCGCGCGCCGACCTCACAGGGGGAAACGACCCAGAAGAGCAACTAGCATTGACATCTGCAACCGACAACGCAGCCCAAGAGACTCGCGCGGCCATACCTGCCAGCAGCGGCAGTACACTGACAAGAACAATGCCAGCAACGGCACCTTCGCCCGTGACACCCAGTCCAGCCCACAAGAGCTCTTCTCAAAACACGCTCCAACCAGACCCCGGGCCCGCAATATTCGAAGCCCCACCCATCATGCCGACTATCAAAAAAGGAACAAAAGTTCACGCAAAAGACAACATCGACCGCGACACTACGAGCACCGAGCTGGAGGAATCCACAGCAGGAGAACAACGCATGCACACTTCTGCATCCAGCTCGTCTGACCCTACGCCACGTATTTCTACGCCCAGTTAGAACGCCAACCACCCACCCCCCATGCAAGTGGAGCACCAGACGCCCACCGGCTGGTTCCCACTTGCGACGATCACCCAGGACATGGTAAGTCCAGACACAATCACCTTCCCTATGGGCGCCACCATACGCCACCCAAACTACACCAAGCTTGAAGACTCCTTTGCCCACGGCACCATCAGCGTCAACGAGGGCGACGAGGTATCAATACTCAACATGTCCTTCAACGACAGCAACGAGCTTTGGGCGCGTGGGACCATTGCTCAATCCAACAGCATGCGAAGCAGCAAACAGGCCTTGATCGCAGACACCATCACCGACTACCGGTCCCACCACAAAGAAATCCTGGACAAGCTCGACACCCTCGCCACAATGGCAGGATAACCACAGGTCAGCTACAACACTGTCGAAGCAATTCAGAATGAGATCACCTCGGTCAACGATTTCGCCCACCAATTCCCCGATAAGCTCAATGACTACGTCACCCAACTGCGCCCCTAACCACTGGCGATGGCCATCCTCGCCACTGTGCGAAGCCGCACGTGGTGCCAACGCGCCAGACGCCGACCGCAGGTAGTACGACCCACTCCCCCACGCAACCACCCAAGATTATGTGCGACATCCACACCTCCGACCCCGAACGCTCCACCTACTCCAGTTCCCGCGTCGACACATACTTCGGAGGAAGGCAGGACATTGGCCAACCACTCCTCCGACATCGAAGGCTCCGCCTATCTCGATGACCCCATCGACACTCACCTCTGAGGGCACAAGTCATGCGCATCAACCTCTCTTCCGACCTCGCTGACTCCATCTACTACGTTTTCCTCGGCGACTACTACCTCAGAGGAATGGGCAAGGCACCCTACCACCACTTCTCCTACCTCGTTCACTCCGTCTACTTACATTTCCTCGACGACCTCCACCTCTGAGGAAGACAGGCATGGCAGGGATTGGGCCTGGAGATGATGGTGGAGGAGCGGATGTGTGGGGGAAGGGAATGACACACACACCGGAGCTGTTGCGACTTACCCACCCACCCACCTGCGCTTAGGCTGTCCTCCCATGCTAGCCGCGCTCTCACATGTACACCTGCCAGTCGGCTCACCCCCGCCCTAGGATTACATAATGTAAGGTCGGCTGGTCCTCCCCACGCTCCAAAAGAGCGACCCTACTGCTGCGACTGCCAAAAGAGCTAGCCACTGCTCCCCTCTGCCTCCGCCCTAAAAAGCATGGCAACTGCAGCCTATCACTCGGCCCATTATAGAGGCACCAATACCAGGACCCCCATTCCTCTTATCATGATATCCCTCCCTCCTGTCCTGGTGGCATCGCCGCCTTACCACACCGATAGCACCGCCTCCAGCAGGCTCGATGCCGCGCGCTCCCACCTACCCACCCACCATCGCCGCTCCTTGCTCTTCTTCATCTTTATCTTCGAGACCTCCTATACCTCCTTCCTCCTTCCTTGCGAACAGGAGGTAAACCACCTGCAAGGCCTAGGGGCGAACGTTAATCTCCTCTTGTCCCTCCCTCCACCTTTTTTGGCTTCCCTTCCTCCCCGCCCTCTCTCCTCTCCCTTGCCTCTGAGCGTTCGCTTTCTAGAGTTACAGGTGAGGCCCTTACCACCCTCGCTGTTCTGCTCAGGCGCCCCCTTCTCCACTCCTACCTAGGTCATTGTGTTACCCCGTCTCATACATCTCGTTTCTCACGTTTTCCCTAATGCGCCCCCACCTCACCGCAGGGCGTAGCCGTAGGACGATAGCAGGACAGGTTTGCACAGCGACAGACATCGTCGCTTACAGCCGTTCGCAACAACAGTAGGAGGAGCAGGAGCAGGAGCAGGAACAGGAACAAGATGGGTAGGAGAAAGCCTCCCGTGCTGGGCCTCCCTGATGCTCGGTCTCCCCTCTTCTTCTTCCTCCTGCTCCTCCTCATCCTTCTCCTCCTCCTCATCCTTAAGACCTCGCCGCAGTGGTCAGCCCAAGGAGGCTGCTTCGAGGAAAGGTCGGCGGGGCAACCTTCTCTCGACGTCCATCTCTGTTCATCTTCTCTCCGCTCTCTCGAGCTTGCAGAGCAGACGGGAGATCGGCCTTGCGCTCAAGCCTGGGCTCAACGACGACCTCCTCCTCCTCCTCGAGACTCGATCTTTCAAAAGGACGAGGAGGAGGAGGAGGAGGAGGAGGAGGAGAAGGACAAGGAGAAGGACAAGGAGGAGGTAGTGACCCCCCCCCCACACTGCCCGAGGCGCCGCCGTCCAGGGGAGGATCGGAAGGCCAGGGGGGCGGCACGGTGGGATGATGAGCGGAGCGTGGGCGGACCGGGAGAACACGGATGGGGGCGGAGTGGGCAATCAAGTCGAGATCGGGACGGTGGCTTGGCAAGCTGGCCCAGTGAAGGAAATGAGAGGAGGAGGAGGATGAGGAGGAGGAGGAATGCGAGGAATGCGAGCACGAAAGGCAGCAGAAGTCTTAACAGGGGGAGCAGGAAGAGGAGGAGGAGGAGAAGGAGGAGGAGGATGGGGAGGAGGAAGAGCAGGAGAAGCAAGAAGAAGAAAGCGATGGGACACGTACGACCGGGAGAACGACTAAAGGGAGGAGCGGGCGCGTGGGATGTGAAACAGGACGACGGGAGGGAAAGGGGGGCTCAGATGCGTGGAGAGGAGGGACGGAGGGACGACAAAAACGGTGCGAGTGGGCCGGAGAGCGAGCAATAGGGGAAAGAGAATAAACCGATCGGAGCAAGACAGGGGGGGGGCAACGCCCTCCTCGTCAGCGCAGGCGTCGCCCGTGATAACTCGCACGATTCTCGCCATCGCTCGGACGTCAATTTCCCATGCATGTTTCGACGTCGTGCGTTTATCATTTGGTAAGATGATCGAATCTGCTCCTCGATGGACCTCACCGAAAAATGCACACGTCCGAGCGATGCCCAGCATTACGCATTACGCACTCTTCGGTAACTCTGTCCCCCAGTGCACCAGCGTCTGCGACAGTCAGAGGCACATCCGGAAGGTGCCGACCTGGAAGCAGGGCAGCGGCCCGAACCTGAGGTGTCAAGCGCCAGACACCCTCATACGCGGGCGACAAGGACAAATGTGGCGGGGGGCGAGGGGGAGAAATGAGAAGGATACGGCCTTCTCAGAAGGCGGCGGGACTTCTCAGAAGCCCTCGCGCCTTCTGAGAAACCTTCTGCGTTTTCGGGGAAGCCTCTCAGAAGGCCGGGGGACTTTCGAGCCTTCTGAGAAGGCCCGCCCCTCTTCACTTTCCCCTGGGCCCGGGCTCGCCGCTGAGAAATGCAGAGGCATAAAGAGCTAAAGCCGCAGTGTGCCTGTATGAACCCAGCGCGGCCCGAATAAGGGTTCTTCTTTCCAAATCAATCCAAATCAGGTCTGTGGAACGCAAAGCGATTGGCTTGGCGTGGCATTGCTTTGCGTTGCTTGGCATTGCTTGGACTCGTTGTTTGGCATTGCGTGGCATTGCCTGGCACTGCTTGGCATTGCCTGGCGTTGCTGACTGCATGGGCAACCCTGGTCAACACATTACTTGGCATCGCGGCTGCGCTTTGCATTGCTTAACATAGCGTGGCGTTCCGTACGTAACTGGGCATCCCTGGGCAACCCCAGGGAACGCCGGGCAACGGGGCAACCCAGGGAACTGCTTGACGTTGCTTGGCATTCCTTGGTGTTGTGGCTTTGGTGTGCATTGCTTGGCATTGCTTGGCAATGGTTGGCAGGTTGGAATTGCTTGGCATTGCTTAGCATTACTTGGCATTGGCATTGCATGGCGCTCCAGAACCTGGCAAACCCAAACAACCTCGGAGAACAACGGGCCACCTGACAACGGCGCAACCCAAGTAACCCAGGACCGCCTCGAACATCACACGTCGCACCCACCTGCTTCTTTCACAGGCATGTAAGAACCCCTCTGGCAAAGCCGACGTGGGAAATTGAACAACCTTGCGCTGGGGACAAGTCCCCCTTCTTGCCCTGGTAAGGCTAGCATGTTCCAGGAGCCCAAGGATGAGCCAAAAAACAACCAGAGGAACGCGGAGCCATTTCTGACACTTCCAACTGTTGACAGTATTCAGGCCGGCGCGAGCGATCACCAAAAATAGGAGGCTGGAGAGGGGCTACACAATTTCTTCAAGGATGCGTGGACGGACTGACCTCCCGCCGGATCATGCAAACACAAGCTGGCCACTGCCCTCCCGCTGCCGCTTAGAAAAACATATGAAGGTCTTAGCCGTGTAGCGCACCACGGGATGCTAAGCAGCAGACGAGCAAGTGCGATTAAGCTCAAACGTCGAAACATAAACCTTAACGTATGTACCGTACCTTCGCGTGTGGCTGCTTCAAATTATGCTCAAAATTCATCGCTTGAGACAATATTTGTTTGAGGAGTTTCAGGGAGGGTGTGATGTCAAATCGCCAACGACCACGAGGCGAAGCACATGCGGTCTGCATTGCCTTGTCGCTTGCCTCGCGCTTCGTTTTGCACTGCGGTGGTTGTGCTGCGTCTGCCTGCGCAAGAAGCGGACATTGGGGCTTCCGCGTGTGGGTCGGGAAAGGTTTAGGGAGCTTCAGGGTGCGGAGCTCAACGCGCCAACAACAGTTGTCATAAGCAACATAAGCACTCACACCTTTGGCGTTGCATGTTCTGTGCGGTGCATGATGTTTCGTTGCAAATTTCTGTGCGATGCGCCCTGCATCTTCAACTGAAGATTATGCTCCCGTGTGTGTGCCAGGAGAAGTTTTGGGAAAGTCAGGTAGGCAGCGATGATCTATCCAAAGCGCTGACAACCCTGATCATAATAACGTCACAGACATTGCAGACACTCTTACGCTGCAGCTCCTTCTTAATTGCATTCGTTTGCGCGGTGGTGGACTGCGCCAGCTTGAGCACATACTTCAGCGCGTGAATCCAAAAATATCTGACAAGGCTATGGACAGCGAGCTGACAAATCGCCATCGGGCATGACGCGACATATATGTCCTGTCGCATTGCGACTGGTGTTTCGTTGCGCTTTCTGCTGTATCGAACTTTCTTGCGCATTGAAGCGATTTGCTCTGCGCTTGGCCGCATAACTTGAGCATGTGGTTCCGCGCGTCGCTCAGGAAAGGTTCTGGGGGGTTCGGAGAGGATGCAGTGCTCATAGCTCCCTCGACCATGACGAGAAGCGCAGCATTTCCTTTGCAGTGTGTCGTTTGCTGCAGTTTCCCCGCGCTGTACCTCTGGTTTCGACGCCGAGCTTGTTGCGCTGCACTGCGTGTAACTACTACTGATCAATTTGCGGTTTAAGATTGCTTGCTTCGCATGCAAGTTGGGACCGGCACCGGGCCAGTCAGGAAAGAGCGGTGTCCAAGCGCAAGGGACACGCTGTAGTTACTGCGTTGCTGTGTCTGCGCGCTGCGTTTGTTGACTTCAGCTCGGGCTCACGGCTCCCCGTGCAAGGCGGGAGGCGGGAGCGGTTAGGACAGATTATGGGAGGGCGCGGTGTCGAGGTGCCAACGACCTTGGCGCGACGCACGCGCGCAGACCTATTCCATGACAGTTCGTTATCAATGTAACGCCTGTGGCCCTGCAGCCGCTGTGGCTTGCATGCTCCTTGTTTTATGCGCTTGCTTGAACTGCGCTTGGCTGCGCCAACTCGAGCAAGATGTCCAGCGCCGGAGCCTGGGGTGGGTTTGGGCGGTTGATGGGGGGGCGTGGCATCAAAGCGCCATGCAACCATGGCGCGGATACTGTTGGTTTTGCCGACGCAGCGGTCGCATTGCTTTTTTTCCGCTCGGTCGGCTGCTTCCGCATGAGCTTCTGATTCAGCAAGTGGGTGTAGAGAGGTCTGGGGGCGTTCAGGGCGAATTGTTCTGCCCCAAACAAAAGAAGGCGCTGCCGCATAACGCGCTTTGCTTCAAACGGCTCAGAACAGCCACGCGTTTGTCCGGGGCCCCCAGCAAGACCAATCCACCTCTTAGCGATCCGCCGCCGCGCCTGTGCGATGTGGGCGTGCTAGAACGCCAGCTGCTGCTCTGTAGGCCTTCTTGTGAAAATCAAGCAGGCGAGGATGTGAGATTTAGGGCGGTAATGAATTATATTTCCCTTCCGCCCATGGCCGTTGTGGCTCACTGGCTGGGCGGGAGGGTGGACGCACCTACTCGCGTTTGCTTTGGGCACGGAGATAAATGGATCAGATTTATCATATCTCGTGCTTGCACCAAGTGCTTGGAGAAAAAGATATTGTGCTCAGCATGTACACTGGTAGCCTGGAGCTGTACCAATTCTACGGTTGCGAGATTCATACTGTGAGTGGCAGTGCAGATATATGCTGGCGCTCAAGGACTCTCGCAGTGCTTTGCCACTGCGCACTTCTTTCAGCGATCAACACGCTGAACATCATCACTTGCAGCCTGGCCGAGAATCGTCGCCGCGACCCGGACAGCAGCAGTGACGACGAAATCTACTACGAGCTTGACGGCAACACCATCACCACAGACAGTTTGGCGACCAGGCAACCGCGTCCCAACGAAGGAACCCCTCTTCGTGGACAAGGAGGGCGTCGTGCACTACAGCGACGACCCAGCCTACGGCGAGGAGTTCGAGGAGCGCGCAACACTCGGCTACAATGCGAGCGAGGAGAAGCTGCAGAAGCAGAGGCCCGATATTGCGACGCAAGCAGTGCTGGAGAAAGCAAGTGGGGACCCACTTGCTGCAATGAAGTTGGTAGTGGCCACGACCCGACAAGCCTGCGAATGGATCGCGCCACTACAAAAGCAGCAAGCATTCCAGGAGTATGTCCTCAAAGGCTTTCGCAGCATATTGGAGCCAGCGCAGGTCTACATATCAAGACGGGAGACGGAGTGCGTGCGACTCGAGTCTCTCTCAGCGAACGCGACAGTGAGCGAAGACCTGCGGGCGTATTTCCTACTAAAGTTGGCCGATGTCAGCATGACCGAGCATAGGGCAATTCTCGGGCAGTGCAACAACGAGTGCATCTGGGGCGACGCGACGGCGGCGATGCTCATCCAGCTGGACACGACGCGCAGAGACGAACGTGGTCACGGACGTTATGGAGCATGCCCGGTGGACTACGACGATGACGAGCAGGAAGCCCTACTGGGATGCGAGCGTGGCGTGCGCGACGAGGACGGGCTTCTGAGCGATGAGGACTACGGCGCGCTGGCAGCCGACATCGACGAGTTCGAAGGGGTGACTGACGACGTCGACCCCGAGGAGGTCAGCCAGGAGGAGTGCGACACTCTAGGGGCTGAGGAGCAGCGTCAGGCTGGGCGAAAAGGTCACAAGCCGAACTACAAGAAAGCCCAGGAGAGGCTTGCAAAGAGCAAGTCCAATCGAGGCTGGAAGGACAACATCAACAAGCAGGGATCCACCAAGATGGACGGCAAGGAAGCTGAAGAAAAGCTCCGGAAGAGAAAGGCTCGCACGAAGTGCAACGCATGTCACAATAAGGGCCACTGGAAAGGCGACCCGGAGTGCGAGAAGACAAGGCCATCAGGTGGCGGATCATCGAGCAATCTACAGCGTCGAGGACGAGGTGGCGGCCGAGGCTTTCACGGGCGACCTGGGGGTTTTCTACGCCGGGCTGGGTTTGCGATGGCAACGGCGGTGAAGCTACTGATGGCGGACAGCTCAGTGGACATTGCTGCCATCCAGATCGCGAATGACAAGCCGGCGAACATGGGGACCACGATGGAGGAGATCACGAGTCTGACGAAGGTGAGGATCGACACCGACGAGCTGATCGTGAAAACCTGGACGCTATCAGCACTTGGAGACGATCTAGGTGCACGAGAGTGGCCTGGAGAAGCGAATCGGATCCACAGCATACCTGAGGAACATCACGAAGGAGAGCCCGAAAGTAGTGATGACCAAACGCCAGGATCTGGATCAGGAAAGACAGGGCCGCAGTATGGGTCAGCTGGATCTGGACCAGGACAGAAGGATCTGGACCAGGACAGAAGGTCAAATATCAAGCAGAACAGGTTGCCGCATTATGGGTCAGCTGTGAGAACGTGGAAGCAGCCTACAGG